TTATGCGGCCACGAGCAGCTACCAGCAATGTGTCTTAGGTGTCTGAGCCTCGACTGGTGTTTGTACATAGACACCCCGTTTCTTTCTTCGTGATTGCAGAGAAGCCTTCATGATATCGATTGTCACTGGTTCCTAGCTGTGTGTTTTTAAAATGCATAAAACAAAATTACAGGCCGCTTTTGAAGCAGTTGGACCAAACTTTTCTTGCAACAGATTCTTTTTTTGTTGGTCTCCACGCACAGCTAATCTTGATTTCAACTCTTTTGTGCCATCAGTCGACACTTTCCATGTTTCCACCCATCTATTTCTCAGGATCCGATTGCCCAGACCTCCTGCGACGTGATTGCTCACCAACTCTACAAATTTAATTAGGTTCTATCCCCCAAGCTCCTCTCATCGTGACATATGAAAAAATATCTTGATTTTCCTTTCATTCGGGTACTCTCACGACTTCTGTATGATGGGTCAATTTCGGTAATGACGAAGGTATCGGTTTTCCCAATCTCGTCATCAATTTGATCCACCGTTTGAGTCTTTCTTTATTCTTCACTGTTACTGGCGTGTCATTGACAAATTCTGGATCATGAATTAATGATTCGTTGGATGTGTTTCATTCCAGTTGTCGGGCTGTCTCCGATTGAGCCTCAAAGTCTGTCTTTTTTAGTTGGGTAAACGATGTCTCTCTCCCGTGCCAGTTCTCTTCTGTATTCGTTTCTTGTTGGCCCTTTTCTTCTCGCGGCTTCTCGTTTTCTTCTTCATTTGAGATCCTTGTTGTGTCGTGCTTAGATCGGTTGTACTCAGTTCTTCATTCTCCTGCCTTCTTCCACTTACTTCTCCATCAATTGTCTTCGTTACTTCATCCCAGCTATTTGTCTCTGGACCCTCCGTTTCTTCCTCTTCCGTTTCACTTCCAATGTCTCGCTCTCGGAATCGCACTCTTTTTGATTCGCTTAGTATTCGTTTTGATCCTGTTGGGGTGTACTGCCGCTCATTCCGTGTGCCTCCTCCTGGCATTTTTCTACGTCTCGTGCTTTCTTCATCTGAACTCTCCTGATCTCCCCTTTCGGTTTGCTTTTCTCGGTTTATTGGTGCCTTCAAATTGTCTTTAATCATTATCCCTTCTTTTTCCAGCTCACTTCTCCTCTTTATTCCTCCTATTGCCTCCATAGCTTCAAACATCAATCTGTCATCTGTTCCTTCTCCGTTGGTATCTGCTTCGCCGCATCCTTCAGTACTAGTAGCAACCCATATTCTTCTCCATCTTGGCTATTGGCTGTTACATTGAACCCCATCATCTGATTCATGATCTTAAAAGCTTCCGCGGTCTCTTCATTTATCGCTGGTGTTGTTACCGTAACAACGTACCTTCTTCTTGCCATAACTGTCTCTTCTCCGTTTCTCTTTTTGCTTCCGTCCGTCTCTGTTTTTTCTTTATTTCTGTCCTTTCCTATCTCTTTCGTTCCGTCTTCAATATCATTTTCACTAACTGTCACCTCGCTCGATAAATCTCTATGAATTCTTTATCTTCCTTCATTTAACAGTTTCCGCAATTTTAACTCATTAACTCTAATTTTTTGATAATTTTTGGCCGCTAATTTACTTTCTTCAAACTTGATTTTACCCGAATTAAAATCGTTCCTTTGTTTTTTACCTTTCGATCTTTTCAATTTCTCACGCACCGAATTAATTTGAAATATGATTTGATCGTTTCTTAAAATCCCATGACTCATTGCATTATGTGCTTCTTTGTCATTCTTAGCTATTAAATTTGGCCTTGGATTTTGTTTACTTTCCTTATGCTATTGAACGAACTTCAATTTTGTTCCGATTGAGTTTTTTTGCTCCTCGTCCCACTAATTAGCCTCAGTCTCTTCAACCGACCGAATAACATTCCTCCACTTTTTCTTGTCAGCCCATTCTTCAATTTATCTCCCAAATATCACTCTGTTCTCTGTTAATTTCACTTCTCTGTTAATTTATTTGACTACAATTCAGTCCTTTTCCCCATTATTACTTCATCTTTCTACAAATTTTTCTCCATCAATGTCCCATGATTATGACTGGTTTCTTGGATTGTACTACAGTTACAAATTTAGAAACGCAAAAACTCATCAATCATGTGCAAATGTAGAATTTTCAGATTTGTTTTAGGATTTGTCCATTCTGCAAGGTCAATTGCCACAGAATCGCTAAAATCTTTACTCCCTGGAGTCAATAACTTTATGATATTACGTATTTTTCTGGTTTTGTTACAGGCGGTGCAGTTTGCAATTACACTTTTGATTATTCCATCAGTATTTTTTTTCTCAGGTTGTTCCTCATCCCGGACTCTTCCAACAGTCTTTTCAATTGACTATTACGTGCATGACCAAATCTAAGATCGACATCTCTTACCCTTTTTTCTATCAATCTCCTCATTACAGATTCTTCTGTCCAAGAGATCTTCTCTTTTGCGGTCATTCGTTGTTTCGTGTGCAGTTTTTGTCGATTCAAATTAACTCTCCATATCAGATGTCCAACACTCGATCTGGTTAGTTTAAACTTTTTCTGGTGTAATAACCAGGTTCTTTGGAAAACCTACTTGCTCATATTCCCGGTATTAGTGAAATATCATCATCAATGGCATCCAATTTTTGGGTTATAAAACTTCCCGCTGCCCTTATTGGTAATAACCACACAAATTCAGCTTTGATCTATCCTCCTCTTCCAAAGTTAAACTTGCTCTCTATCTCAATTTTCCGCTCCCTCAATTTTTTTCATTCCTCTACTGTTAGTCCCTGTTCAACCTCCATTCATTGTTTCAAGGACATAAATGATCTTGCTGCCCCTGAATCTACAATAGTGTCGATTTCAATGTAGCCTTCCCTTTCTTCTTCCCTGCTCTCTTCAATACTTGCCTCTTCTTCTGCAAAATAGCAGGGTGATGTCTCAATTGTCTCTTCAGACTGGGCCAAATTCTATTGATGCCTCGGGTTCTCGTCCTCTTCAAAGTTTTCTCCATTCGCAGTTTTTCTCGAAGTCGTTTGAAAGTTCTGATGTAATCTCCTACCATATGCCTGTTCTCCTCTTCTCCCATTTCCAATCTTCATTCCATTGCTTTACATTCTCTCATCCATTGATCTAATGACCCGCATCTATAACATCCTCCTTGCTGACCATTTCTTCCTTTCTGTAATTTCCTCTTCCTCTTTGACTTTGGCCACTGTTGCCCGTAAGGTAACCTCTACTGTGAAAAGAATATTTTTGGTTTGGTTCTCCTTTACCGTAAATTTCCGCAAAGTCTGTTCTAAAAATGCTGAATCCATTCTTGTTTCCATTCCACTGGAACCTTTGTTTCGTGCTATTTTCTCGATGTTAATTTTGGTGGCTTCGTCTAGGTTGGAACCTTCTAGGAGTGCTATACAAAATAATATGTCATTTATTGTCATTTCGGGTTCATTCATTTTTCTCCTATATTGCTTCATTCTCTTTATGTACTCATCCCAATTTATCTTCGGAACTTTTTCACATCTTTTCCATGGTCTGTAAGTTTGCGCCAATTTTAAGAATGGAGATGGTGTCAAGTACTCATCTAGCATGTCAAAATATTTCTTTTTTCCAAATTCGGTCTTTGCCTCGTCTCAAATCATTGTAATCACGATTTCGTTCAGTTCAGCATTTGTTATCCCATACATAATGACATGCGGCGCCTGCATTTCTAGTGTGGAATTTGCGTACATTCGGTCCACAGTAACAATTTTTTCTTCCATCTCCGATTTTCTTCCAAATCTGTAGACTTCAAAATCTGTACTCTTACAGCTTTCATCCTGACTCTCGTCGTGTCTCCTCCATTTGTTTCTCTCATTTCATCTTCTTTCTCCTCCAATGCCTCTAGCCTCCGTTTTAATCTTACAAGTTCCAAACCGGTCTCTTCCACTCTACTCTCGCTTGTTCCCCGTCTGTATTTCCCACAGATCCTATTGGAAGCCATCTAAATTGTGTTGTTGTGTCCACGGTCGGTGCTCCTTCGTTTTCTTTAATCATCGGCGAAATTTTTCTCGTTTTCATTGTCTTTGTCACTTTTTGACTTCTCGTATTTCTTCCCATTCATCTCCGTGTCATTCGCTTCTCTCAATTATAAAATGTCCTTTTTCGAATTTAACCTCCTGCTACTATGTTGAAGTGTTCTCACTTGAACAAAACAACTGGATCTGAATTGGTTAATTTGTGTATTGGACTTTATCTCTTTTGTCCGATTTCAGATAAGTAAAGTGACGTCACAGGCGCATTAACAACATGACCTTCACACTGAAGGTAAATACATCGCATAACTCATATCGTACAATTTCAGTTCCACGCCGATGCCGAGCTTTCAGTAAAATTGGCGGAGGATCAGCTGCCTAGTTGAGGTGAAATCGGACGGTGAACAGAAAAGGCCAATTGGAACCGTTGCGGTTCAACAAGCCACGGGAGAAACTTGAAGAGGTATCGGTTAATTATTGCAAAAAAAAAATGTTTTGCTTAGTATTTTGTGCGTGATAACGAAAATGTGGGGCTGCAAATGATGATAGTTAAAACTCCGAAACGGAAACACTACGAACTAACCCGCAAAATCAGCTTCACTACATTGCCCTAGAAGACAAATTAAAACAAGGAAGTGAACTATAGCTGGCAGACCACTAATTTCTAATGTGCAAACCGGAGGGGAGAAAAAGCAATGGCCGTGTTTCTCGACGAGTCAGTGCAATAAACCAATATACGCCTTAAATTTCAGTTTTGTTGGTTTTTATTGGCAGTAGCGAGCGCGCTACTGAGAAGAAGTGACATAATGATATTTGAATTAATAAAGTAGAAACACTTTTGGATTACAACTGTCATATGGCGCTTTCAAACATGCGCTTTCTAGCAGGCCTTCAGAGTCCGTTCAATCGGTGCTCGATAAATGATGAACTTAAATAAATTATCATTGCAACAAACCGTTCTTGAGAATTTTTGATAAATTATTATTTGCAATAACTTACACGGAGTCTGCTAGAATGGTTAGAGTATCTGCGACAGCTACCATCAGCATACAACACAGTGAAGCACGACTGATTCCAACTTTGAACAGCACTGCTACGATGAGACTGTTGCACATCAGAGCAGCACACGCAGTTCCATAGAAGACAACCGTCAACACATCCAGAGCAGTCGAAAGAGCTGGATCAACACTACTGCTGGCCATTCTGATGTTTAGCTGGAAACAACACAAAATAACTTCTTTAAATACCAAAATGAAGCTCGTAGAAAAACGTTCAATTTTTTTTGTCAGTTTGGCTAGCAAATATCACGCGATGCACTCAGATTTCGATCACATAGAAGCTTTTCCAAAGTTTCTAGAAAAAGTTGTGAAGCTTTTAGTTGATATTTAAGGGCGCTGAAAACCAAAACCCGAGAAAAAAGATCAAAGTGTTCAAGTAGTATATCAAAGGCCACTTTAGATGTTCAAGTATTATAGAAGGTTTTGACCAGTTATTTTTTGGAAATAAGACACTCTTCACTCTAAATTCGTCTAAAAATACATATTTTTTAAATCAATTTTTGTCGACTTTGGGAAAATTTTTATCAAAAGTTAACCGTTGAAACTCGGTTCGAGTCGGTTCGAGGTTTGCGAATTATGTTTTGGTCGAGGCGGGTCGAATGCATACGAGCCAAAGTTCGACCGAAATCAAAACCCCTAGTCGGAAAAACTCTATAGACGTGCTCAAAGTTCAAAGTCAACATGCAAAGTGCATGAACGATCGCATGAAGGGCTTTAATACGATACATATATCACTTAGCCCACTTGACTATCACTTTTTCCAATAAAAATTAGAAAATTTTTTTAAAAAACCGAAAAAGGAAGCTTCATTCCAATTCTTGGTCTTAAATAAACGCGGTTCAATGATCGTAACGCAGATAAAATCAAATCCATAGTCTGCATGAAGAACGAGACAAATCACAGTCCGGTTTCTTTTAGTTTGTGTTTCCAGTCCGAACTCAGTTTGGAACATCTTTTTTAAAACCAGTTTTAATGCAAGAAACAAAAATTTTGTGGTGCAATTACTGCAACTCAAATCAAGTAATTTGTGTACAGCTCGTTCAACAAACATGGCAATAATTGTTCTGGCAGATTAAATTTTGTTTCGATTTTTTACAGAATCAGATGTAATTTTGTATATAACCTGAAAAGTGTTGATCCGCTGAGCTAAAAAAAAATAAGCAGAATTTTTACCTGTGATCATTTTCTAAAATTTTGGGGCACGAATTTGGGACTATTCTACTTTCCCGTGGAATTTTATGGATAGTAATCAATTACACTGAATAGTATAGACTGTCTCACTAAAATTCGAAAACAAGTTTTTATAATTGATTGAAAATAGATTATAAAATACTATTTTTTAAAGCAAAAGTTCGATTATGATTATATGTTTTTAGCTGACTTCGAACTTTTTTTTCAGATGTAAGTTAGTACCTTTAGCGTCTCTCTCGATTCCTATTTTTCTTAAAATCAATAGCGTTTTTCTAAGCTTACGTTTTTCATGTTATTCTTTCTTTTCAGTTTTGTCACCTATCCCACAAAATATATCACTATACCACTAACCCCACACCCACGAAAACGCACGCACACACACACACATACCTAAAGTGTGTGTGTGTGTGAGAGAGAGAGAGAGAGAGAGAGAGAGAGAGAAAGAGAGAGAAAGAGGGAGAGCGGGAGAGAGAGAGAGGAGAGAGAAGAGAGAGATGAGAGAGAGGAGAGAGAGAAATGAGACAGAGTGAGAGAGAGAGAGAGAGAGATTTTTACGCCCCCAATCCCCTTTCACACTTTCACGCCCCCAATCCCCCTTCCATAGCCCCACCACACTTCATTCCAGCCTCCCCTCTCCACGCACACTCATCGACAACCCCCCCCCCCCCCCCCCCGCATCCCCATCCTCATCTCCTCCCTCACATTTCAAGTCTATCCCCTCCCCCAGTTTGTCACCCCCCGAGATTTTACCCCCTCCCTCGCAGGTGGGAGGTGGTTAATGTGAGTGGAGGGAAAAGCTGGAGGAGGGTAAAATCTCTGGGTTGGCAAACTGAAGGGATCAAACTGGGGCGGAAGGGGGGGGGTGGTTTGCGGCTTAACAGGAGGCTTAACATGGGATGGGGGACAATTAGGGAATGAGGGACGTAAGTTGTGAAGAAATTAGAAAAATCTGTAGAAACGTAGAAAGTAGAAAACATGAAACTTAAAAGTTGAAAAAAGATAACAATTTGGTTAGCCAAAGTAAGTCTCAATTTGTAATTTTCTAATATAACGTGCGGTAAATCGTAAACGATAACGAATTGTGAAAAACACTGCACTGTGTTGAAAATTTCAGAAAATTTCACTAACTTTAGAAAAAAAATTAAATAATCTATTATAATCAATTAAAATGATTTTTATTGATTAGTCAATAGATTATAGTCCACTTTTAATCAATTATAATCAATTATTTTTGGTTTTTGTGGAGATTGACAACGAAAACATAAAATATTGGATTATTATTCATGAAACTTCAGTGCGGGAGCCCCCATAACTATGCGAAAAATGATCACAGGTGATATATGTTTTTTAATTTGAGCTCAGGTCATCAGTATTTTTCAGATAAATTACCCGTTAAAAATGGTTATTTAAAACGTCTAAACTGGTGTAGAGAAAAGAAACACTCCGATTACAATTACTCTGTCGTTTTCTTCGAAAGTCAGAATCATAAAACGCCTTAAGGACTTACTTTCTTTGATCCCCGGAATCTTTAACAAAACTGAAGAGAAACAATAATGAAATTGGATAATCACAAATAAAACACAAATAGTGAAACAAAAAATAGAAAGGGCAATAGTTTTTCTCCTGTTGATTTTTCATATCCTTTTCAACCTTCAAATAGGTTTTGTGCAATCATCTCCCCTTTCATCAGATGGGATTTTAGCGGCTCATTATTTCAGGCATCCTCACCCGTCTTTTCCATCGCGTAAAGCAGCCGAAAAATACTCAGTTATCATTGATGGCTTGACTTATTAGGTTTTTCAGATTTAATTTTAAACCCCTACTTCATTGATAAAATCAATGTCGGGTTTGGCGTTAGGGTCGGGGAGTTTGTGGATCCTCCCTCAGGGATTTGACCTCCTCACTGCCCAGATGTACCGTATTGGGTTTTTTAGGATCTCCATTTTCAGCCGACCGCACGCACCGAATTTTCTCCGTTAATAATTAATTATCTGGCGATTTTGTGATTGAAAATTTTTTTAACACTGTAGTCTAATGTTAAGGGCGGATCGCGCGCCGGAAAAACATAATTCTTTGGTAAGAAACTTCAAAAATATTTGCTAAAAGAGATTCTTTCATATAGTTTTGAAGTCCTAGTAAATATAATTTTTGTCGACTTACAACCGGTCAATCACATTTTTGGAAATTGGTTGAAAAATCTGCCCCCTCATCTCGAGAAAATCTTAGATCTACTCCTGAAAAAAATTATCCCCTAAGCAAACTTTCAAATTTTTTGATCCGTTCCATGGGTGAGTTCCGCCATCCAAAATTTTTTTTAAACAGATGCAGGGAATCAACGCAAATTTTATTTTGAACCACTTTTCTCACCTATTTCTTTATTAAAATCACCTATTTATATATTTTGCATAAATTGAGCGGATATTGAATGCCTTCTTACTCTTCCCTTAGATCAATTTGGCCCACAAATAAAAATGGCTAGAGATGTGTCCAATAGCTTTGAGTTTCTGAGTTGAACGATTTATCTTACCCTAAAAAATGAATATGGTTACATAATGCTAAAAAAAACGAACTTTTCATTTATTAACATGAAGCAAAGGTAAGCAACACAATTTTTTAAAACGGAAACTTAAATATTTAGAAAAGATTATGTTTAGAGTTACTTTAACTACAAATAAAATTCAATTTGTTTCCATGATATTTTTCCATAGGTTGCTACAGAGGGATATTTACTTAAAATAGACCGTAAATTGTTCTTAATTTCAAATTTGTTTGTTTTTATATGTTAAGCGGTATTTGGCTATATTTGCATTTGCGTTTACAATTCGATTCCAAATTATATCTGATTTTATGAAGAAATCTTTTTGAGATACTGACTGCTGAGTTTAGCTTGAAAGTTGAATTGTTCAATTGTTCTGTTCTCGTCAATTGTGTTATTCTCGTACCTGGTTTTTGTGTATGCTGATTATGTTTAAATTTCTAGAGATGACAGACTAATTTCGACTCAAGAAACAATGAAACCGACAGTAATTTGTATTTCAGTTTAGGATCAGATCAAGAATAAAAATTTCTTCTATCGCAGGACGTCTTGTCCTGATTGCCGGGCTCATTTATTTTTCAAGTGATTAAATTAGATTCGTTGTTAAGCTGCTTTAGATTACTGCAAATGGTTTATGGCTAAAGCGTTCAGTAATATTAATAGGTTTTTGATGAACAGCATTTTTTTATCGATTGAAATGTTTTGATTCCGCAAACTATTTTTTCGAGTTTGTTTTTAACTTCTCACTGAATTGTAAAATTCATGAATGATAGCGGGGTTTTTTCAAAAATATTTTTAATTATTGAGATACCCGGTCGATGTTTTTGTTTAATTTCCAGACTGTTGCGACCAAAAAGTGGTATTTGAAGACCGCCGCGACCAAGATTTTGTGTTTTCATACTTACAGACAGAGGAGATGCATTCAAGAACAGCGCGATCCAAAAAAACTTCCGGGGCTGATTTTACAGCCAAAACAACTCCGCGACTCATGCCACTGTCAGCATTAAAATGAAACAATGCTGATCGTATATCAGGGTGAAGCCCTGATTGATTTCACTGCCCCTCAGCTGGCCTCAATAGTTTTTGTTCAAAACTTTTTTTTATAAACTATAAGCTTAATACCAATATCAAATGCAAAAGGTGTCATTTGAGTAGAAATGCTACGTTCAGTTAATATTGGCTTCAATTTAATTTGGAACGATTAGAGTGCGGAAATTATCCATGCGCTGTCAAGTTTTATAAAAATGGTCTGAACTGAAAAAACCACCCAAGGCATATATTCGTCACTTTCTTCGAAAATTGGAACAAAGAGGGAGCTCAACGCAAAAATCATTCATTAATAAACATTTGAAAAAATTGTTCCTTACTAAACATTTTAAAACAAAGCCGGCTGAAGTTGAAGGCACCACTTCCAGTGTTCCAAAAACTGTTTTACGTTGAAAGTAGACGGATATTCAAGAAAAAATGATTCGAGAAGAAACAAAAGAAAACAAGGAATGAGCTGACGTTTGCTGACAATTTGATCGGCTAAAAACTGTCGACAAATGTTTCGAAAATCGTTAGCCCCCATCCCCTCGAGAAAATCTTTGATCTGCGTCTGGTTGCTTTTTTGGTTGCTATGGTTCTCTATTCCTCGAAAAAACTTCGACCGCAGCCTAAGCGCGCTCAAACATCAAAGATAAGCCATTTTAATTGTACTAATTTGGGCTCTTATTTGGCAGAACGTTGTCCACAATTTTTGAAAGGATACATAAATACCACAATCTTTACATTAAAAAACTGTTTTCATAAAATTCAAGCTACGAGTGGACAAAAACTAGTAATTAATTGGAAAATTCCGAAATTATCTGGGAAATTATTACTTACCTTTCTAGAGGCAGGTTTTGAAGTTGCAATGATGATAAAACTTTTAGTTTTACAATTAACCCACGGTTTAGTTGTTGTGTTGGTTATTTACAGTGGTGGCTGCTAGTGCAATGATCCGATAGTGCAAACATCAGAAAATGAAGCGTGATAATTATGAAAAAAACTTTAAATTATTGATCAATTTAAATCACACTTTGGTGTTTAATTTAAGACATAGCTTGCTCAATTTAGAACAAGACTGCTCGTATAAGGACAAAGCCTTGAAAGTTCCGACTGCCCTTAAATTGGTCTCGAATAATTTGGTAAATTAAGTATTGGCAAAACTATAAATTCTGGCTGATAACATCAAAACTTGAGTGTTCCAATTTGAGTCGTGTATTGAGTTAAAAAAACCAATCAGCTGCCTAAATTCAATGTGGAACAATTTTGTAGTGAGGGATAACAAAACTAGAAGTTTTAGCCGTAATCATGGCAAGATAATAGTGGCTGGAGATCGATCCCCCGAGGGAACAAAAATTTGTAAAAGTTGTCTGAACAAAAAACTACGCTGAGCATATATATTCCTCACTTTCATCGAAAGTCGGAACAAAAACGTCATGTCGAGCATCGTGAGTCGGATTTTAGCAGTAAAATTTTTGAATGGTGAATTATTTATGCGTTTTTTTTTTTTGCTTTTTGGCACACTTTTTCTCAGTTGTAATAGGATTGCACCATCGGATGTTTGCTTGGCTCTGCTAATGTTTGCTGTCTTCAGCTAGTCTTGCTGCGATGCTGCCATCCATCAAAGCCTAATGACTTCCGTGGCTGCCTTAATTTTCTGTTTTGTTGGTACCCTTTTCTTCCATAGTTATTTGTAGTTGTCAAAAGCGCTGATTAGATAAGCGAAAACTTATTGTTGTTTGTATTTGTATAGAAGAGGAAATAGATTTAATTAGACAATGAACTGCTTTTCGACGTTTCGTTCTGCCATAAAGCACCGGATTTGCTGCCAAGCATTTATTTGCTGCCTGGTTATTTGATTTATTCAATTAACTTCTTTTTTTTCGGATGTTACCATTTGTAGACAACAACTCCCTTTGAGTTTTTCAAAGTATTATCAATCTAGTTTAACCTTCCCTACACAAACCATAACAAAAAGCCTTAAACTTCTGCCCCCCCCCCCCAAAATGCATGTTCAACATTCCTTACTGTCTTCAAAGTTCGGAACCAAAATTATCAGTTAATTAATGAAAAGAAGGTCTAGAATCGCAAGTTAACTGAATAGTGTCAATTGAAGTCAATTTTCTTAGGACCGTCCTATTAAAATACGTCTACACTAGCATGCCCATGTAATGAAACCCGAGTCGAGGTCCCAGACTCAAGTCCATACTTTCGCAACAAGTTCTGGGCATGTCCAGACTTTCGCGACCAAAGTTAGGCATGTCCAGACTTTCGCGACCAAAGTTAGGCATGTCCAGACTTTCGCGACTAAAGTTAGGCATGTCCAGACTTTCGTGACCAAAGTTAGGCATGTCCAGACTTTCGCTATAGCAATGATCCGTCGCGACTATCGCGACCGAAACGAAGATGGCGCGACTGAAAAATCGCGAACCATGTCTGGTATGCCCAGACTTTCGCGACCAAGATTTGCCATTCCCAGATTTTCGCAACCGAGTTGGAGACGAGGCGATGAAAACGACGCGAGATGGAGACGATGCGAGATGCATACGACACGACGCGATGGAGACAAGACCATTTCCAGAATAAGGCGAAGACGACGCTGTGTTCCAGACCAAGGCGGAGGCGGCGCAATTTTCCAGACTAGTACGGAGCAAGTGCGACCAAAGACGAATTCTTTGCGATCATGGTGGATGCGGCTCAAGTTTCGTAATCGGAGTGGAGACTACGCAATTTTCCACACAAAAGCGAAGACAGCGCATCTTTCCAGACCGAGGCGGAGAGGACGCGACCAATAAACAATTCTGTACAATAAGAGTGGAGACAATGCAACTTTCCAGACCGAGGCGAAGACGGCGCGTTTTTCCACACCAAGGCAGAGGCGGCACAATTTCCAATTTTTTCTTTTTAATATCAATCAGCTGGCTGATATTCTACAATTTCAATCTTTTTTACTGTGTCATTAGAAATTTTGACTTTTCGAAATTTTAACCAGTTTTTCTTATTTTTTTTGATAAAGTCGAATTATGAAAATGGCACTGAAAACAAAGCGTGAAATTTTCCTGGGTCGAGCCGTCTCCACCTTGTTCTGGAAAGTCGCGCCGTTTCCGCCTTGATCGCGAAAGTGGCGCTGTATCCATCCCGGTCGCGAAGCTTGCGAGGAGTTTTTTCTTGGTCTCGCCATTTCCGCCACTGTGTGGAAACTGGTGCACTCATCGCGCCGCATCAAGATCCAGACTCAAATTATTTAGTCGCGCCGAAAGTTTGAGTCTGAAAAGACTGGACATGAAGTCGCGCCGTGGGTACTAAGAATTGAGCCGTGGGTTGCGCCGCATCCGGATTCAGACCCAAATTGCATAGTCGCGCGGGAGTTTGAGTCTGAATATAATTAGTGGAAAGTCTTGAAATGAGTCGCGAAAGTCTGGAAAAGGGCAGCAAAACGCCTGGACATACCAAAATTTGGTCGGGTAAGTCTGGAGATAAAGTCAAGTCGCGAATTTCTGGAAAGCTTGTGTCCAGGCTTTTGCTACCCATGTCGTTTTTCGTGACCAATTTTGGGTATGTCCAGACTTTCGCGGGCAATGTCCAGGTTTTTCGCGACCAAATGTTTGTATGTGTAGACTTTCGCGACCCACGGCGCGACTCATGTCCAGACTTTCTAGATTCAAAGTTTCGACGTGACTATGCATTTTGTATCTAAATCCAGATGCGGCTCGGCCCACAAAGTCTGGACATGAGTCTGGGACTTCTACCCGGAATTCAATTGACTCGCTCGCTAATTTCAATTTTGAATAGAGTGCACTTCACCAAATATATGTCGAGGCAAAAATGTAAGTTTGTGACCTTAAACAACCGAACTGTTTTTCACATTATTTGAAGTTTTAACACTACAATATTTTTTTCTGAATGAAAACTACTGCATGCTACGCCGCCAATATTCTAATGCATGTTTCATTTAGCGTACAAAAAAACTTTGAGACCATGTCTGCTTTTTGTGAGATGGCTCAAGATTTGTAAAAGAAGGATTAGTTTCAAGGTACAAAATAAAATTATGCTTAATTGTTGGATGGGTCATTAATAGGGATGGAAATAATTTGCTTGATATCATATGAGGAGAATTAGCAAACTTCATAAATAATTGTGCGCTGTCCTAATTCGAAAAATAAGACAACCTTCCAACATGAAAACCAACTTCATCAATCTTTCTTCATCAAAAATGTTTGCAAACTGGGACACATTTTTGAAGCAATTTAAATTCCAAAATGATAAGAAGAACTAGCTTGTCTAGATTCAAATTGGAACAAGTTCCGAATCTGCACCTTACTTGCGCCTCATTGCACTTTAAAAGAACACAGGTAAAAATCACTCAATAAATATCCTAGTCTAGAAAAATCGTTTTGCAAAACATAATCAAAGCTGAAACATTTTTGATTGTGAGCTCAAGGAATCAAACATTTTCAGTCTTTGTAAAAAAACTTCCTTCAGAATTTGTTTTTAAACGACGAAATTTGTGCGGAGTGAAAATCCACCCGAGCACAGAGGTTCCGTCAGTTTTTTCAAAGTCAGAACGCGATCAGTTTCTCCTCGAAGCCTCAATAGATAAAAATCTAAATTCAATCTGCTAAAGGTTAGCACTGGAGGCTAATATATCAAGCGACTTCTTTGAATTGAAAAAATCTCCATCTAATCTCCAACGCTCGAACAAACAGGTGCTACATTTTCTTTTTTTTCTGAGAGATAAGAGAGGGGTTTTCTTCTGGCACGTTGTTTTTAACAACACAATTACACCCCACAATCTGCATTACTAGCCTTCCAGAACTCAATAAAAGCAACCAAATATTGCCAGAATGGATTCCGATAAAGTTGTAACAAAATAACACAATTTAACAACGCAAAGATTCTAGTGATTGCAAGCATCAAATCCCTTTTATCGATAATGAAAGAAAACGACGATTATATAGAAGGAGTTTAAGGTTTCACCCGCAACCCAGATAGAAAATCAGGTCTTTAACACTCATTTTCATAAATCTGGCATATCTTCATTAAATTGCGAAAGAGGCTTCCCATTGAATAAGCAGAGAAATCATGTTCTAACAGACGCAAGTTCCAACATCTTAGTGATGGTAATTTTTTGACTTGTATTTTTGAATTTCTTGTAACTGGATATATTTCTTTACGATTAAAACTATAAGCTATGCTACAATTATGACTCTGTTATCTACGGTGGTGCTATCGGAAGCGTATGAATGAACCTCCCTGCAGCCCTAACTCAATGACCACACACAGAAAAACCGGTCTGTGTTTTTCCACGGAAAACTTTTCAAAACTTTTTTCCAAGGAAAACTTTGTTTGGCGAGCAAAGCTTAAACAAGAAGCTCCAATCTTGTACACTAGAACACTTGGAACATGAAGAAACAAAGTAACACAAAGAAGCCTTTTAGAAAAATCCGTCATCATATTGGCAAAAGAGACATACTCAGAATAAAGTTACTGTAGATTGAATTAACTGACAACCTTGTACAAAACTTCAAATATATGAGTAAAGCTTAGGGTTTTTCAAAAACGTTGCATGACGAAGACAAAAAGATTCATGGCATCCACAATTAGCTAAATTTGATTAACGGTCATTTTAAGTCAATCTACTCACAAAAACAGATATCAAAAACTCTATTTTTTTATTAAACCATATGCTTACAGATTTAACATATAAAAATCCAAAATCTAGGCTTTTTAGAGGAATTAGATACGTCAAAATCAAGAAAATTTGAAGCATACCAACGATTGGGTTCATGCATAATTACTATGTTTCAATGTGCTCTTGCATTGAAAATATGCTTTAAGTGTATTAGACGCAAAACGGCGATGCCATTTTGATGGAAAATTGGTTTAATATACCCTATGCGCAAAAAAAATCTTTTTTCAGAAATTGCAGAGTTGTATCAATTTTCCATACTGTCAGTAAAATGTATCGATGAATCATTATTTGTCTCAATACTTCAGAAAAATAGCATAGATAATCAGAAACAGCTATGAAATATTTAAAAAATTTCTAAAAGTAAAACTGGCTTTCTGAAGCTGTCCTCGTCTTACATTCTGACTTTGTTAAAATATTACCAGTGTGACCTACAAAGATTGATTCACCCACCAGTTTCATTCTTCATTTTCATCAATCATCTACGCGACATAGTACGCATTGATTATGCCCTTCTGGTCGCTGACGCTCCTCGTTTTTGGACGAAGTAACCTCTGTGTATATTTAAACCTCAAGAATCTTGAAAAATCGCTGATAAGACCAAAAATTCTGTTAGGTTGTCACAAAAAGCTTAAGCTTCTACCAAAACCTGCCTTTAGAGTAGATCGCATAAAAATTTTATCGTAATAAAAAATTTTATCGGATGCCTCATGTTGGGTATCACTTTTGAGAACCTAAATTAATTAAACTGAAAAATTGTATAACCAGCAACAAATAATTGATGATAATATTTCTCCCTATAGAACTGTTGTTTTAGCTCCTGATTATGCTCTAAATGTCGAAAGTGTATGTTGAACGACATCATCGGATTGACTTCAAATTGATCAAAAATTAACGAAATGAAAGATCCTGTTCTACTGAATTTGTTCTTCCAAAGCTGCCGGGTCGAAAATTGCAGACCAGAACCTACTTCTTAAATTTGTAGATTAGCCAACCATCCACCCGATGAAATTGATTTTTCAATCTGAAACAAAAAAA